GGGAAGGCGGCCTAAGACACCCCGTATTGAAAGAGGAGAAATCTGATTGCAGCAAAGCCTTGGGTCCTTGCTCGCTGCTTGGGTCCTTCTCTTTAACAATACACCTGAAGCAGAGGTGCTCCAGATGAGTCAGTCTCTGTGTCTTGGAAAGAGGAATCTCTGCTTGTTGGAGAGCCTTGGAGAGGAAAGAGAAGAGATGGTGACATTAGCCAACGTGTGAACCGGAGCAGCCGAGTGCCTGGCAGCTGCCACAAAAGCCCTTGTGTATCATGAGGGAGGAGAAAGCCACACAAAGCCCACGGGCAGGGAACAACCCTGCCTGTATTGTAGCCATTTTCTAGACAGATCTGTCATTAGGCAGGAGGAAACTTGTCTTTTAGCCCTGGGCTGCTCTTTGGAGTGGAGCAGGCATGCCAGCAGGGTCAGAGCTCAGGGGACAGCCCGTCACTCCCCCCTGCTTCGCTTTTACACCGTTCCTTTTGTTCCCAGTATAACCCAGCTGTGACCCCAGCCGGTCACACCCCAAATCCAGCCCCAAACTTTGTCAAGACACCCAGAGACTGAAAGCTCTGAGGGCAAGACACGGACAGAGAACACTCCATACTTGGGTTTCGTTCTTCTTCAGAAGGACCCACCAGCCCAGGCAGTCTCCTGAGCTCCCTCCACTCCCGAAGCTCAAGAGAACTACACCCCGGAGGGTAACCCAAGAGGCAGGTGTCAGCTCAGCCTTTGCAGATGGTGACAACCGAAGGCATATGGGAAATTCAGGGCATTCCCCTCACTCCTGTGATGCTGCTGCAGCTGAGACCCCCCGGCCAGGAAGGTTACCTGCGCTGCTGTGCCGCCTCATGTTCCTGGCTATCACATCTGCTGGTGTTTCTTCCGATATTTGCACGGCCAAATCTGGAATGGAAAACCAAGAGGGCCTGAGCACAGGAAAGGATGGGCAGCTCTGATTCAAGATCCCTGTCAAGGAATGCACAGGGCTCTCCTTCAGAAGGCACCACCCTCAGGTAAGAGGAGAGGTAGAGTCTGATTCTTCAGATTGCTTCCACCATTGTCTTGGTAATCTGAGCTTGAGAGTCCCTAAATACCAGGAAGCAACAGGAGTCTTAACTGCTAAGCTGAGAGGCACAAAGCCACCTGGGTTTCCTCCCGCTACTTCTGGATGTCTCCTTGCCCCCCACACTCAGCTTTTCCAAGGTCTTTCTACAACAAACTCTCTTAGAATCTGTTGTGGATGTCGGTCACTTCAGACAAGGAAGACGGCACCCCTGACAGAGCCACGAGGCGCTCACGCTGCGGCAGCTGCCCTTCCCTCCTCTTCGCAGGGATATTTCCTGGCTGCCCCTCGCCCCGCTGGGTAGAAGTCTCAGCTCCGAGGAGGCGCTCTGTGGCGTTAGCAAGGAGCGCTGGGAGAACACGGGGGAAGAGAGCCAGCTTAGGAACTGGACATCCTCTGGCAGAAGCCAGCTCGTCTGGTCATACCAGTTAAGTTTGACTCATGGTCTTTCTGCCTGGCTTAGAGGTGCGGAGGAAAGCCAGAATCATTGCAGCAGCAGAATTAGCCCTTCCATTGCTCAGCACAAACTTCACAGACAGTGGAAGATGCCATCAAGAAAGCCACAACCCCGTGGCTGGCGAGAAGCAGAGGTCTCCAGCGACACGCAAGGACCTCCGCTCCCACATCCCAGGAAAAGGAAGCCCAGCCCGAAGAGAGACGTCAGTTTTCGACCCTGCTCCACCGCCACATCTCCACGGCCTCGATAAAAACCCCCCTCCGGTCTCGAACACCAGGGAACCCCCACGTACCGTCTTGGCTGATGACCATGGACTCCAGCATCGTCTCGTTACCGCTGTCTGGCGCGTTGCCTCTGCTGGACTTCTCCTCGTGGCTCTGGCTGGCTGGGATAGAAATAGGGGGCCGGACCCTGCTTTTGCGGGTGCTGATGCGGATGATGCCTCGGACCAGCCTGCATTCAGCATCCTGCTCATCCAGGTTGTAGTCCTGAGTGATGCTGTTGATGAGGTCCGAGATCTTGTTGGTCTTCTCCAGGAAGACAGTGTCTGACGTGCACTTGGCCAGCTCATCGATCTGGTGAACGCTGAAGAGCTCCGTCAGTTTCTTGAAGATGAGGACGTCGATCTCCCTGCTGGACATGGAGCCGTTCAGCTCACAGATGTCCAGGTCGGACTCGTGGAAGGAATAATATTCCTCTGAACTCCGGTGGCTGCTGGGGAGCGGTGGCTTTTCGATGCTGTTCCTGGAAGGCTTCTCCGAGAGCTGCTCTTTGCAGCACGAATCCGATTCCAGGTGGTGGCTGGGGCTCCTGTTTTTATAGGAAAAAAAATTCACATCGGGGTAGCTGAAACTGCTGCCCATGCTGGACTTCTTGATCTGGTTCCCATTCTTCTCAGCAGGAGAGACGTTGGCGGGGCTGTTTGGCAGCCGCCCGTTATAATCTCCGTTCTTTCCCTCATCAGTGGAGGTCTCGGTGGGCCCCGGATAGGGGATGCAGACGCTGCAGTCCTGAAAGCAGCCCCCACAGGTCACTATACAACAGAAAACAGCCTTGTACGTGTTCCAGGCCTGCGACAGAGAGGAACAGCAAAAGCTCTGGTTTGGGGGAGCCTCCGCCGTACCAGAAATGAAGGTGATCGTTTCGGCCTCTCTCCCGTTGGAGTCTTTGAGGTCAGCCTTGCGGCCTTTCCGATCCCGCGCCTGCTGGGCTCTGGCGCGGCTCGGTTTGATTTCGGGCGTCGAGCCGCTGAACACCTCCAAACTGACATCCGTCTCCTTGGATGCTCTGGTCCGCAGGGGCACAGCCTCCTGGTAGGACTGGTTCAGCTGGCGGTGGCTGTTCAGGTGGTGGGGGAGCGCTGTTTTCCGGCCCAGCATGGCTCACCGCTCAGGCACCTGGGGATCGAGAAGGTCTCGGGTCAAAGCAAGCGTTGGTCACCAGTCTCACCTCGGCGAGCTGTTGATCAACGGAGAAGGACCCAACGTTCAAATCTGGTGATTCTCAAACTCAACATTTCCACGAGTTAGAGAAATGAGGGCTCAGGCTGCTCTCGCTTGTCGCACAGAGAGGGAACCCAGCCTTGAGCTTCAGGGTTCTCCGACTACTCTAGCTTTGCTACTTCCCTTCGGTAGATGCTTGAATCAGAAGAGATATGTTTTAAAAGGGCTGGGTTTAAGACTTCAAACTCCCTGTCACCTTCAGAAGAGGGTTCCTCAGCGCGGCTGGAAGACGAGTCAAGCTCCAGAGTGGAGCAGCACAGCCATAGGTGGAGCCAGCTGACAGGCTCCAAAGGGAAAGTATCTGCTTTTAAACAACTTCCCCTTTGTCTGGCATTCCTTCGGATTAAGCTGGGCCCTGACAGCGCTTCTCAAAACACACCGTGCCCAGGAGGAGATGACAAGCAATCAATCACTATGCAAGCGGCCAATTTGGACTCCAGATTATTCGGGGCTCTTCAAATTTAGGGGATTTAGCAACAACGGCGTTCCTAACACTGACGATTTTTGCTAGTCGTGCTAAGGCCGCGCTACCTTAAGGACCTTCCTTGGAGATCTGATGTCTTCATCTGGATTAAAGACAAGATCTTGTCAACAAGTCAGTCCCAAATCCCTCCTCACAGGGGCAAAACCTTTACAAAGCCTGACTGCAGGAAGCCCACAGCAGGCTACCGAACGGTTTTTCTCGTTGCCACTGTACTAACACACCTGCCCCAGGGCTGCACACAGGAGTGAACGGTTTTTACAGGGTGCCGTGTCACCCTTTAGCTCCACAGATCCAACACGCAGAGCTGGGCCCGTGGAATCCCCCTGTTAGGAAGAAAGCTCAGCACTGGGCGACGTGGAGAGGAAAGTCGGGTCAAGGCTCTCACCCTTCAGTCGCGGCCGCTTTTATCCCAGGCTGTGGTGGGCCCCTAAATTGTCCACGGTTTCTAAGCTTCTTGGCTAACCCTGCTTTCACCCCCCAAGAGATCCTTTTAAATACTAATTAGGCTAATTAATAAGCAGTGAGAGCCCAGCCATAGCTTAAGTGTTTCTGGACTGTCCCTGCTGCTCTACTATATAGTTTCTATAGGGCATCTCAAGCATGAATAAATCAATCTGTCCCTCCTTGTTAGGGCATTGCCTCTTTTTCCCTTTTTTTAAAACAAACAGCAGCGTTGCTCCCACAAAGGAACAGGCACAGACTGACAGCCAGGCAGCTACAGCACACCACTGCTTTCCAGGAATACTGTGGCTCCACCGGCTTATAAAAATCCCCACGTAGCGCGTGTCCCAGGAGCTCCCTTTGCACATTCCTGGACAATATGTTCAATATAAGAGCCCCAGACGCTCCAGTTTCAGCGCTGAGCAGGCAGAGCTCCCTAGACTCAGCACCAGCAGAGAGTTCTGAATGCTTTCACTTCAGAACAACAGGTTTGTTTTTCTTTTTCCCCCCCTCAGCTTCGTTTCTGTAATGCAGTTCAAAACTGAAAAACAAATCAAAAACTGGAGCTGACCTAAGCACAGAACTGCTTACTGGGATGTTACCGAGGCCTCATCAAGAGATCCAACCTCTACACTGCACAGTGACCATCACAGTATATAATATTCTGACATTTCAGAGCGTTTTTGACATGAGGAAGAGCATTATCTCAGCTCTACAGAAAAGGACTTGCGGGCTCAGAGGCTGAACCACTCGCCTGACACAACCCTCAGCTGCATCAGGCGTCACAGACCACCCCAGCCCCGAACCCTGAGCTCTCCCCCTTCCCATCACAGCTCCCGTTTCCGCGACCACCGGGTCACACGTCTGAAGAGCTCCTCGGGAGCAGGTACAAGACACAGCTCCTCGATCCAGCAGCTGCTCTGGCACAAGCAGCAGACCAGACTGAAACCCGCAGCCAGCTGCTTCACACAGCCATAAACAAAAGCTCAGAATAAAATCCCCAGCCGAGCTGATACTTACAGGATCGTTGGGAGCTTCGTCTGTTCTCACGCAGGCACCGGGTGCGAATTCAAGTGTGTGACCAGAGAAGATCCTTCTAAAGAAATGCAGCATCTGCTTCAGAAGAGGGAGGAGGGACTCACAGTTTGCGCCTCTAAGAGTTACCCGGGATCTAAGATCTTCATTGTTCAGAGGACAGGATATCCTTTGAAAGTTTAAAAACAAAACAAAACAACACAACTAAATTAAGTCGCAAATCTACCTCATAATGCCACATCAGTCTGCCAATAACAGTATTGCCACTGGTTTTAGAAGCTAGGGAAGCCAAAGCGTTAAGTTAAAAAGGGGCCAGAGGACCTAAATGTAGGATACAACATTTATATGCAGATACAACTTCTCCTACATATATGGAAGCATCAATAGCTGTTAAGTTTCCAAAGCAGCCTGGCCAGGAGCTGAAAGCTCCCCGACTCCTGATGGTTCTGCTGGTACCAGGCAGTGACAGAGACCCTGGCCCAGAGTTAACAGGGATCCGGCTCTTTGTGCGGCTCTATCCTCCCTCTCACCTACCTGGGATACAAACAGCCCGACCAAGGAACTGCCTCTCCCCAAACGCTTCCCTTCACCCCTGGCCCAAAGCACATTCAACCCCCCCCGTCCCCGTTCCAGCTGACAACCAAGACTCCACCGCGGTGCAAGTGAACAGAATTTGCGCCTTCCTTGTCACAAACGAAGCGCTGCAAGGAGGGGAGACCCGCCAGGGCACCAAGCAGAGGCCCCTCTGCCTACCCTGAGCCCCCAGACGTCCTCGACGCGGCGAGGTTTTGAGAGAAGAGAAGCTGCCAGCAGAGAACCGACGGTTTCCAGCACAGCCACTGAAGACTCCACCGCGGTGCAAGTGAACAGAATTTGCGCCTTCCTTGTCACAAACGAAGCGCTGCAAGGAGGGGAGACCCGCCAGGGCACCAAGCAGAGGCCCCTCTGCCTACCCTGAGCCCCCAGACGTCCTCGACGCGGCGAGGTTTTGAGAGAAGAGAAGCTGCCAGCAGAGAACCGACGGTTTCCAGCACAGCCACTGACCCGTCCCGGCAAGGCCTGCCCTTTCCCGCACAGGCTCCCCACCGCCCTCCCCCCTTAGGTTTTCACCCTTCCCAAGACCAGCCGACCCCCAGCGGGGGCCAGAGAGACCCGACCCCGCACCACCACGCCCCCGGGAGAGCTCCTACCGACACCAGGG